TATATATATATATATATATATATATATATATATATATATATATATATATATATATATATATTGTATTATTATAACAAATCCAGCAGCGTGTCCCAGTGGTCAACAGATCAAGTTCCAAGGCGTTAGTGGCTGAAGGTCAGGGGTTCGATCCCTGCCTCCAGCACCTTGTATTTTCTTATTTCTTTTCAGGTAATCATATGTGCGCACTAGCTTGCTATCCATCATGCATCCTCACCTATCTAGGCGCCAGATGGCCAATGGCCAGATCTGTTGGTCCATAAATGGAGGAACACCAAGAGCCTAGTCCACGCATCCACATTGGATCAAAAAAAGGTCAAAGGGGCCAGCATTTTTGGGCCTACAAAATTACTACTCATACTCCCAAAACAGGCCCAAACCCCTCTCTCTTCTATTTCATTTATTTAGTTTTATTATTTGTTTTATTATTTTTATTTAATTTCTAACCAATCACAAAATTCCTCTTTTATTAAAAAAAATCACAAAAAATATTTTTATTTCAAATCAAATTTTAAACTTCTATTTTTCTTAAATAAATTTATTAATTAATTAGGTTTTAATTAGAAAATTTTAATTCCTTTTAAAAAAATAAATAAAATTAATTAGACTTAATTAGTTTTTAACCATTAATTTAATTATTATAATTTCTTTCCTAAATAATCAAAAACTCCAAAAATAATTTATTTTTATTAATTAATTTATTTAATTTAATTTAGGTTATTTCTTTCTTAAAATAAAAACAACAAAAAAAGATTTTTCTTTAACCAAAAGGGTCAAAACCCTAATCATGCGTCCGATTTAATTTTGCGCCGCGATTTACTTTTTATCCAATAATGTACCTGCTTCCGAATTGTAATAATTAAATAGGACTTTTAATTATTTTTTATTGCTTTATTTTATTTTGCAAAGGGTTTGTCTTTGGCGATGTAAATACCCGACGCCTTGTAATTTAAATTCCGCATTTTAATTTATGCAAATTATAACTGTTAGATGTTTGATAATAGGGTTGCATGACAAGACTGAATGTTAATCTTAAAATCAAATTAGATCACCTTTAACATGTACAAAGATAAAAATAACTGAAATCAACACACTCGCGCATGCGCACTCCTAGGGTACACCCCACTTGGTTGCCTTCGTACACGGTCATTGAGTATATGTCATTTTAGAGATCGTCCTCTTGTCTAAAAGATCATAGTCGCCTCAAAATGGTTGCCTCGGATATTGTTGCCTCAAACAAATGATCTAAGACATTAGGGTTACTGCTAAGGTGTCCTAACATTGCTTTAGTGACCGTAAGTCCCTCATTCAAATTGACCCTTGAACTCCAACGACGATGCTACCTACTCATCAATAGTGGGATAACGTTGCTTAAAGGACATTAGCATAGAACGATTCCTTTTTCGAGTAGGTAGATGGTTCTTAGATACTTGCTCTTTCAAAAATAAAATCTTTTTCACACTTACACCTTTTTAAACAAAGTTTTCAAAAATACTTCATTACACTCTTGAAGACAGAAGCAAGAGTTAAATCTAAGTTTTCAAACGAAAAACGTTTTCAAACCCACAAGCACAAAGAAAACACTTTTGAAAACAATTGAGCAAGTACCTAAGAGCCCGTGGATAACCACAGATAGAAAGGGTGCTAATACATTCCCTTTCTATAATCTACCCCCTGAACCCGAGAAACATCTCAAAAAAGAAAATTTTCTGTGCTTTTTTCCTTTCCTTGTTGGATAAAATAAAAGTCGGTGGCGACTCTTGCTTACCGCGACATTTTGCGAAAACAAACGCAAAACGCAAACCAGCATTCCAAAAACAGTCAGTTCTTTCCACCGTATCACAATTATGTTAGGATCAAAGAGGGGTCTTAACGCGTTGATATTGATATGTATTATTCATGCATCATTTGAGTTGTGTCAAAAGGCATGTTCGCTAGTTCAGAGAAAGGACTAGTGGCTTATCCCAAGTTCAGAGAGGGGTCTTGGAGCTCAAAGAGGGGGCTCATAGATTCAGAGAGGGGACCCGGTTCCTGAGAGAACCAAATATTGAGTTGGTATCACATGCATATGTATCGAGTTGTATTGTTTAGTTGCATTACATAAATGACTTGTATGCACAATGTTAATTTGTGTGTGATTGTTGAGTTGGGTATGAGGATGTACGGTGAGATGTTGTAAGCAATTGTCTGTAGAATATGTATGTATTTTATATTCTACCTTGCATTATGTACTGCTTACTTTATTAATGTGATTTCTCACCTCTTAGTAATTGTTGTGGCTTGTGCTCTTCCTCGGAGTATAAATAAGCAGGTAATTGAGTAGCTGCCTAGAACGGAATGGTGACACGAGGTTGTTCTTATTTCCTTTTTGTTTTTTGTCTTTAGCTTACGTTGCTCTGGTCTGTAACACAGTGTGAGCAAATGATGTTTATTTTGTTTTGTGTGAAGTTAATATATGCATTGTTGAAGTTTAATAATTATCACGTTCAGATGCTTTGAAGTTGCCATGAGTTGGATATTATACTCCATTTAAATTATTTTATGAAAGTTTAAACCCTTGTGAGATTAAAGTGGAAGTTGTTATGTTTTATTATTGAATTTGATATGATTCCGCTGCGATGATACCCTAAGTAAAGTTGGGCATGCGATGACACATCTTGCATGATTTATGTTTTCCGCTGCATGTTTTCTAAATGCTTATGTGGTGTTTGAATGGTTGTTGTTAGTGACACCTTAAATGATCGAGTAATTCTTTATTTATAAGTCTTGGAGTTTAAGGTGTCACATATAGTATTATTGTAAATAATTTAATATTGTCTAATGTTAAACAATGGGACATTCAAAATTTTAGACTATTGTTTACTCATGATACAATGATGAAGATTTTGAAGGTTTCTTTGTTGGAAGAAGTGAATGAGAATTGTTTGGTCTGGAAAGAAGAACAAAATGGAATTATATTGTCAAAACAAGTTATAAGTTGTTGATGAATGTCTAAGCTAATGGTTCAAAATAAGGAGTCGAAAGGGATTGGAATAGTTTATGGAATATTTCAATGCCACCTAGGTCTAAACATCTGCTTTGGAGGATTTGTCGTGGTTGTCTTCCTACTAGGATTATACTCTGTCAGATGTGTGAAGGTAGTGAGGAGGATGATTGACATGTCTTCTTTGGGCGTGTGGTGGTTGTTCAAAGTTGAAATGTTGCGGATTTGTTTTTTTATTATTAGTCCAAGGTTATAAATCTTTGGTGATGCTAAGCCCCTAATTTTTGACATATGTAGTAAGGAGGATATGCGAGTATCAAGAAGAGTTGTTGTGATGATATGGGATTTATGGAATAACAGAAATAATTGAATTTGGCAAAATGAGAAAGAGGAGACAAATTAATTAGATATTCAGGTGTTTACTAATTGGCATAGTTGGTTTCAAGCTCAAAATTTTTCTTCTTCTAATAATGATCCTGATAATCGTCCGGTTGTGTGGCATCCTCCAAATATAGGGTGGGTGAAGTGTAATGTTGATGCAGGATTTAATAATAAAAAATACACAACTAATAGAGGGTTGTGCTTTAGAGATAATAATGGTGTGTTTTGTTCTGTAGGTATATCATGGAATTTTGATATCCTCTCCATAATAGAGACTGAAGTTATGGCTCTGAAAGAAGCTATGCAAGAAGCCATCCATATGAGTCAAGTTATTTTTGAGAGTGACTCTCAATTGATGGTCCAAACAATTTAATATAATTATAGTGGTTATTCTGAATTTAATATGATTATATCTTGTATTAAAACTTTAATAAATTCTTATCATAACTGAGGTGGAATTTGTTAAACGCCTAAAGAATGCAGTTATTCATATATTAACAAAAATGACCGATTCATACTCTTGACACAATGTTTTTAATTAATGTCATTTATCCTTCAATAATATAAATTAAGTTTGTTTGTATAGCAAAACAATCACTAGTTAATTATAATTATAGGAGTAATATATAAAAGGTAAAGAAAACCACATGCAATGATGTTAAGAATCTGTAGCGACATAGTATTTTATTCTTTTGATATAAGTAGCCGCATGGCATTTGTATGAATAGTAAACTAATAAAAATGATTAAACTATGATGCAACTCTCTTGGAGAAATTTGTAAGTGAATTTTAAGGGTTTCTTTAGTGGAGGATTTTAAGAGTTAAGAGTTACTACTTAATACCTACTGTACTATCTAATTTCCAGAGATTCTTCAAATACACAAATAAGATAATTATACCAACCAAATACTCATAAATTCTTGTACTATTCTTTCATGAATACATAAGAAAAACAAATGCTTAATGACAAGAATAGTGCAACTCAACATCGTTCCATATATGTACATGTGAATTTAGTAAACAATACTAAGACGGTGGCAAGGGTCTATCAACTTTATAAATAAATAAAAAATTTAACATGTAATTCTTCTCTTCACCGATTCAAAAGATTAGTCTATTCGATCAGTTGTTCGTAGAAGATATAAAGAATCTACTAAAAAAATTATATTAATAATATTTATTGACATTTACTTATCAAATAAAAAATGATGCAAACTCAATGATGCATATCCCAATTAGTGTACACTTATACATGGTTAGTTAATCATTAAGTCAAAGTAACTTCATGTGAACATATCTCATTTTAGTCCAATGATTGATTAATTTAGAGTATTTAAAAGTTTGTAACTTCTATATGATTTTAATAATACAGAACCTTGTGATAATAAGACACACATTGAGTTGTTATATTAGTGCATTCCAGATGTGCACTCAATCACATTTCACACTATATGAACACGTGAAAACGATTACAATTCTCAACCATGACATCACTTCAGTCTTCACACTTGTTCTTCAATGAAATCCAATCATCACCAACAATGATATAGCCCTCTCTACATAAATCAACACTTCACTCTCACCTTGTTCTACCATCTTCCATTTGTTGACCATGAAAATGGACAAGGAAGTTGAACTTTTTTCAGTTCATGATGCTGCTGATGATGAAATGGTTTCTCATGAAATCTCACAACAATCACAAAGACGCAAGGGTGGCCTTATCACCATGCCTTTCATCATTGGTATCATCATATCTACAACTTTGATTGTTGTTTTTTTTCTCAATGAGTTTGAGTTTTGTTGTATGATATTGATATGGTTTCGTTGTTGCAGCAAATGAAGCACTTGCTAGGATGGCTAGTTTGGGATTATTACCAAATATGATAACATATTTGATGGGAAGTTACAGACTTCATCTTGGAAAAGCTACTCAGATTCTTCTCTTAACTTCTGCAGCAAGCAATTTCACACCTGTTGTTGGTGCTTTCATTGCTGATTCTTATTTAGGTCGATTCCTCGGTGTTGGATTAGGATCTGCTGTCAGTTTTCTGGTATGTATCTATATTCCTTTTTCTTATCTTTTTTGACTTGAATATGCTTATGATCCGGTTCATTTTTGCCAAGTCAAATCGTTTAGATTCGAGTAGTAGGTACTTTTGTTCAAAAGTGATACAGTTTAGCTTTTGAATTAGGCCGAGATTTTTACACTTTTTTTGTTATAGGGAATGGCACTGTTGTGGTTAACAGCCATGTTTCCACAAGCAAGACCTCCTACTTGCAACCATCAAACAGGAGACTGTAAATCAGCAACAAAAGGTCAAATGGCAGTTTTACTCTCGGCGTTCGGTCTAATGTCGATTGGAAATGGTGGTCTTTCGTGTTCTTTAGCATTTGGTGCTGACCAAGTGAATAGAAAAGATAATCCAAATAATCATAGAGTCTTGGAAATATTCTTCAGTTGGTATTATGCTTTCACAACTATTGCTGTCATAATAGCTCTCACTATAATTGTGTATATTCAAGATCATCTTGGTTGGAAGATTGGTTTTGGTGTTCCGGCAGCACTCATGCTTTTATCTACTCTCTTGTTCTTTCTTGCTTCCCCTCTTTATGTTAAGATTACAAAAAGAACCACTTTGTTCACTGGTTTTGCACAAGTAACTGTTGCTGCTTATCAGAACAGAAAAATTCAATTACCTTCTCAGAACTCAGCTGAATTTTACCATCACAACAAGGACTCGGATCTTCTTGTTCCAACTGATAGACTAAGGTATGTAGACTCAAAAACCATTTGTGGGATTAAAACTTAGATTTGATCGTTTATGGTTTTCGTATTCAGGTTTATGAATAAAGCTTGTGTTATTAAGAATCGCGAGCAAGATATAGCATCGGATGGGTCAGCGACAAATCCTTGGAGACTATGCACAGTAGATCAAGTCGAAGAACTAAAAGCCATTGTTAGAGTAATTCCATTGTGGTCGACAGGGATCATGATGTCCCTTAACATTGGAGGATCATTTGGATTGCTTCAAGCTAAATCCTTAGACAGACATATTACCTCACACTTTGAAGTTCCAGCAGGATCTTGTAGTGTTATCATGGTAGGTGCGATATTTATATGGATTGTTCTTTACGATCGCGTTCTTATTCCTCTAGCATCAAAGTTAAAAGGGAAACCAGTTAGGATAAGTCCGAAGACAAGAATGGGAATAGGGTTGTTTATATATTTTCTCCACTTGGTAACCGCAGGGACATTTGAGAGTATAAGGAGAAAGAAAGCGGTTAAGGAAGGATACTTGAATGATCCTCATGGAGTGTTGAAAATGTCTGCAATGTGGCTTGCGCCTCAACTTTGTTTAGGTGGTATAGCTGAAGCATTCAATGGTATAGGCCAGAATGAATTCTATTACACAGAATTCCCAAGGAGTATGTCTAGTGTTGCCGCTTCCCTTGGCGGATTAGGAATGGCTGCAGGAAACTTGGTATCTTCTTTTGTATTCAGCACGATAGAAAACGTTACTTCGAGGGGAGGAAAACAAGGGTGGATTACTGATAATATTAACCAGGGTCACTTCGACAAGTACTATTGGGTTATAGCTGGAGTTAGTGCTCTCAATTTAGTGTATTTTTTAGTATGCAGTTGGGCTTATGGACCTACTGTTGGTCAAGTATCCAAGGAAACTACTGAAGAAAATGGTTCCAAGGAGGAAGATTTAACCGAATTCAAGAATGTGAATCCGCTATTTGATGACAAGGGTAGTGATGAAACTAGTTCAAAGGTGAAAGAGTTAACTGAATTCAAGGATTCGGGTCAGGTTGAGAAAGTATACAAGAGTAGTGAAGAAGGATTAGTTAATCGGGTTGATTATTGAGCAAAAGTGCTTAATGATCATGATATATTCCTTTTTCCTGTTTCTTTTGATGAGTATTAATAGTTAGGATATATAATATAAATTTACTATTTGGTTTGTATACTCAACTTGTGCTTGAAGATATATATAGTTTAAACATATAATAGGTAAAATGCAAGGCACCAAAGTTGGCTTTGTCTTTATATCTTATAAATGCAATAGTTTTCTATGCAATAGTTGTGTAACTAAATGCATTCTAGTATATATTTTCAATAATGTAAATCTAGAAAATTATTTGTATGTTTTTTATGATATATGCTTTAAGCTATTTGGGACCTAAAGCTGTTAAGGCTTAACCACTTTATTTGGTTAAAGATAGATTACTTGTTTTGCAAGTAAGAAAGATAGAGTCACAACTATTAGTTTATTAGCTTTATGTTATGCCTTTAGTTACCAAGCATTGATGTAATCTGAAGCCTGTTAATAGGGCTTCTTAATGAATGATAAAGATAAAGTGTGAAATTGCCAACGTCTAGCTTTATTTTCTTATAATTCAATTACAAGCATCAAACGTAAACACTAAAACCAATCAAAAGAAATACAATTTTCACTAATTTTGAAAGAACAATAGAGTCACATAGACATGGACTGGTTTGAGGGAGGATTCCTTAATGTTTGATCACTTCTCTGTCTTGCTAGGATACCATTCCACCCTGCAGAAAGATATAAGAAAAATCAACTTCACGCAGAATAGTTTTCAACTTTATGATGAACATCTTTATTTATAACAAGAGTATGTAAATAAACAATGAAAAAGTTGAGGTGAATTAATTACCAAGAGCAGGGTCAAGTCCTCTAATTTGAAGCTCTCTGAATTCTTGACATAGGGAACAACATGGACAAAATATGTGAGAAATCACATCTGAATATGGAGCTTCCACCAAATCATACTTTTTCCTTAACTTTGTTCTGTATTTTGATCCCATAATCCATTGAGAGCACAAAGCCGGCATCATTAGCACGTAAATGAAGCTTCCCAAAGGACAACCTTACATGATAATTACAATCAACAATTAGAGTATGCTCATTTTATAGTAATTTTTGCAAACAAGTGCTTTGTAGATATAGAAGTACTTACCGAGTTCTCCAACATCCATTACTTCTGATATCTGCCCAAATGTTACACAAGGCAAAAATGCTGTCATAACAGCTGCAAGCCATAAAACAAAGTATATTTTAGCAACTTAAAAGTTTGTAAGCTGTATGCTATGCAGGGTCTTGGAAATGCTGTGTCGGTTAGTTATCGTTTAAATGTGACAGAATAAATAGGAGTCCTATTTTGACAATGTTACAAATATTTCATGAGGTCCTATTTAGTTACAGATTAAAGTACAGTGTCAAATTTTGGGCTCTGTGCTGCAGTAGTCTGCCTTGCGCGCCCTCAAAGACGACCCTGATGCTATGAAGCACCGACACAGTCACAAACATTAGATGCTGACATATAACCACCAATAATAATTTGACAAAATTTAATAATTCAACGTATTATATGTGTTGTGTTAGTGTCGAACACAGACACATCTTCAACAAGGTTCAAGGTTCAATACTAGGAAATTTCATCCATATAAGGAGTCAAAGTAAAGATGATATTACCATTAGTTTGGTTTTCATGGCAGTCAAATAGTCCAGTACTCCATGGATGCCCTACCTGTTGAATTGTATTAGCTTCATACCTTGAGCCAACAGGCTCTTGTTGTTGTTGTTGAGTCCTCTGCTCCTCATTGGTTTGCATCTTACTCCTTTTCTTTTGAAGGAGAATGTTCTAATAATGATAGAACAAAAAACTTAACAAAGTGCAAAATGAGCTTGTTGTTCAAGTAATGCAATGACCATATATATATATGAAAGTCTAATGTTTGGTTATAATATATTTAATTGCATGTTGGAATATGAAAAGCCATTGGACCATTTAACTTTGAGGATTTTGATACAAGTCAATGACTGACAGGAAGGTTTGTATTATAAAATTAAAGTTAATCTCAACGTTTTAAGCAGTCTTATCCTGTTTAGCAGTTAATTAAAACATTGAAGTTTGAATGTCTTGTATGAATCTTGGATACAAAACAAACAATGATGTGAACTAATAGCCGGAATGGTTGACACTAAATTTCGGCACATTCTAACTGAGAATTGGTCGAAAGGTTAAAACCATTACAGGTCACTAAAAGGAAGTTTAAGTTTCAATTGAATAAAATATAAAGATCAAAAGCATTACTTTCCCTCATTCAAGGGTCAACACAACATCTATGCGTCTATCTCTAACTATAAGGTCAAAGCCATAATGTGAATGTGTTCTAGTTTTTTGCGCCTATATTTTTATTAAATAGAAAGTCAATGGGTCTTTTCAATTAATTGGGATGTTGTTGAGGTGTGAAGCTTTTTTTAAGTATTTTATTCCTTCTGTTCCAAAATATTTATCATATTTATCACTTTCATACTAATTAAAAAAAAATGTAATAAATAAAAGAGAGAATAATAATTTTACTAAACTATCCTGATTAATTATTGGTGTATTTAAATTATCATTAATACAATGTGAGAGAAATAGTAAATTAAGAGTATTAATTAAAGGATATAATTGAAAGATGAAAACTAAATTTGCATTGAAAATTAAAAGTGATATTTTTTTTGAGAATTTTTTTTTTTACAAATGCGACACTTAATTTGAGACGGAGGGAGTATCAAACTAACGGTCTTATCAAACGTAAGTGTTAAATTTTTGATGTATTTATCTTTATAGTAAATATATTAAAATCAAAAATATTAAATTGAGAAGAATGTAATAAGTATTAGTTAAATGATATAATAATAAAAAATAACATGTACATGTCCGATCTATTGGAATTAGTCATCAAGAGTGGGTTGAATCGTAGTTTGGATGCAATAGAGCTAGCCCGGAATAGCAACTCATCCAGCAAACCAAGTTGGGGTTAATATAGCCGATGAGATATGTCGATCCAAAACTACGAGAAACAAAAGCTTCTCTCCCACTTGTCCCAAACTAACTCCTGCATACAAAAAGTTAGAAAAATAAGCGAGCACCGACAGTGTTTCACACACATGTCGCGTACTAAGTACCAAACAACATTAGACAATTTGGCTGGATGGACCGACCTCCTCTGATACCACTAATGTAACACTCTTTTAACCCAACGAATAATTCATGAATAATTTAATAAATAATTAAACACAAATAACCAACAAGGTGTCGCATCTTCACAAAAACATCAAATATAAAACATCTTGTTCCGTAACACGGGTTTTTAATTTTTTTATAACAATCACTTCTTTGATAACATCAACCAACAAATTTAAATTTCGCAACAGAATCATAGTCTCAAAATAACTTCGTTTAGTTCATCAACATCAAAACTTTTTTGGTCGATATCAAAAGACGTCATCAAATGAATCCAACATAGTAAAACTCATAAAATAGGTTTATCAAAACAACAGAACTTCAACTCAAGTGTTTCCCACCTGATGTTACAATATCAAAGCAAGACCACTAACATTACAGAAATAAATAAATAACTCCAAGCTATCCTCAATCTTCTACGAGTTATTCTTGATTACCTGCAAGTTACCCACGTATAGAGACAAAGTTTTCAACCAGAAAGGGTGAGAAATCACAAATTATTATAAAAGACATATGGAATAGATATAGTAGTACAACAATAAATCATCATGGATTCCACATATCATCTTAAGTCATAAATTATACTCACACTTTTGCATCATCAATACATATTAATTATATCAGTATATCATCACGTTAACATCTATCATCAAACACCACTTAGATCACAGCATCATCAATCATTATGTAATATCACAAATAATGCAATACAATATCATTGACTCATACATGTGGTACCAAAACTTCACTGATGACCAAGTCATCTTCCTCCAAAGGTCCCCACCAAAGGATCAATTCCCACTTGGAATCAGAACACTTCACAATATTTCACTCAATTTACACTATGAGATTGAGGTCATCACTGGACCAACGTCCTATCAACATCACTGGACCAATAGTCCTAACAACATCACTGGACCAAAGTCCTAACAATGTCATGAATGCATGATGTGCAACAACATAATAAAATATGATCACTGCTAGTCAAAGTGCATCATCATTCATGTAGTCATCATATAATTACCTTCACACGGCATGTAAACACATTAAACATGCAATCATCAACTTCATTCATCATAATAGCATCAATTACATCATAGTACAACACAACATCATCATAGCAACATCAACTCACCATTTACACATACATCATAATAATTCATTCACCGAATCGTCCAATTTATCAAAGCATGTGTACTGGAAAATATATCATATGATTCATTTTATCCTATACAATTATAGTTTATCGCGTTAGCTTCATAACTCTTTGAACGGTGTGTCGTAACCGGCAAAAAATAAGGAGATTCGCCACCATTAATTTTTATCCTAAGGATGGGGGAATAACTGACAACCCTAATTCGTACAGAGATTCTAAATTCATAAGTCAATTAGACGAAAGAAAAGTGTTAGTCACCCTTCATCTCTCTTGTTCTCAAGGGGCTCCGCTTTTAGGTTTAAGGGTAAAATGGGGAATTTGGTAGTTAATGTTTCCATATGTTGAGAAAATGATTTAATTTTTTAGTTGTGAATTCGCCTTGGTTTTAACTGTGTGCCTAAGTATCTTCTTACGAAGAATCAGAGTTCAATTTCGTAATTCAAATTGTTTGACTGGTGTTTTTTATAGGACTGCGTAGAATTGCATTCAAATTATCCTTGAACCTTGTCTTGGTTTGAAAAATGAGTGATCGTGAACGCAATTTACAGTTTGATTTGAAAGCAATGCTATTTAATTCTTTTTTGGAAATGTCCTTGAGGTTTTTGTTATCTTAGTAGAAAAAAAGTTTTTTTGGTTGGTTAGCTATTTTAATATTTGATTTGGTGAATT